AACAATTACTTCATTACAACAATAAATTTGATAGAACATTTAAATTAGTCTGAGGACATTAATTTAAATGCTCTTTCAATACTTCTTGAAGCTACCTGCTGAAAAATTTACACTTCAAATTTGTTTCACATGTTAGCATGTGGCGCTACAACCATCTTCCAAAACTATTTTTGCCCAGTGGTCTCTCTTTCACAGTAAGATGAACTTAAAACTGCTATTAAACAGATAAACACATTTATATATGGAGTTTTTGTGTGTAAAATGCGTATCCCTGTTGAGATTTATACATATATGTACATATGAAAATATAACCTATCTGTGTTTGGTCATTTTAACTGTCAACTACATTTCCTTTAATTTTCAGGGAAGTAAAATATTTTGCAACACCTTGTAGGGTTGTATGTAAAAGCTCATATCAATATAGTTATATAACAGACTAATGGAAAGTTCAATATCTGCAGAAAAATATGTCATGGTATAATACAACACAGTAAAACTGAAAAAGGTTCTGTATACCACTACTGAATCCTTTCTTTTCCTTTTGACATTAACAAGTGGGCCAAGTTATATTTACTTGTTTTAGAAAAGTATGAGTAGACACTTTTCCCAGAAATCCTATCATCCAGACACATATGCCCATAATTCTAATAGTCTCTTTTATTTTGGATATATACTATCATTTTAATAATTAATGTGATCACCTGGGAAAGAGACTGTGATACAGTAATTATGTACTTTTATGTAACATCTCTCTTAATCACAGAACAAGCAGCCGTTTTAAATACCAAACGACCTAACACTCAAACACTGCTTTATTTTTCCCAGAATAGAGACATGTAGTCTTATGAAAGAACACATACCCTGGTATTTACTGCTTCCAAAGTATTTTTCAAGGATCTTAAGTGGAAGTACTAAAAGAAAGATTCCAAATTTGTGTGTCTAGACTCCCAAAATGCTGATGCCAGTTGCAGAGCACGCTCAGTGTGGTTAATCATAAAATGGTAACACCTTAGAAGAAATCTAGTGCAGCATTAGATGGTTGCCTAGGAAACTGAATTAAGTCTCTTATCAGGCATTATACTTCAATACAAAGATCACTAACATGCTTTTTGAAATAGTGAAAAATATATGCCCTACAACTGCTGTACTGATTTTGCCCAAATGTAATTTACAGCATATATGTAGGTTGCAAAGACTGAAGTAAATTTACTGAATAGAAAAGCATTCATGTTTTTCACTTCATAGCAGAAGGCTCTAATGCTTAAGGGGGTGAATATTCAATGACATTAGCTGTTCCCTGCATTTAAGGAAATCTATCCACATCAAAACAGAACAGGAAATTAAATGGGGATGGGGTGTGAAAGGCGGAATATGTTTTCCCATATTGCTGTTGGATAATATATTATTATACTTCCATCATTTACTGAGATCTGAATCACAAATACAAATATCTCAGGGTCACCAAAATGTAACACTCTATTAGAAGAAAAATGCATTTAAGGTTGCAGGTGTGTTATGAGCAGAAACAGTTATAAAATTGAAACTTCACCTAGAAAAGAAGATTTATTGTATTTGAAAAAAGGCAGAGAACAAAGCAGGCAGGTATTTTACATCCATCTTCCTTCGCTATAGTCATGGTGGAATCCTTGGTTTCTTTTGAAAATGGAAGTAGTTAAAACAGATTAGTGCAATAAATGAGAAGTTAACTATAGTTTGAGTATTTCAAAGTAATAATTGAACTGCCTTGAAAAATTCTGTTTGCCTTCAAAAATCAATATACTCATGTTTATTTAACCAAAATAGAGAAATTAGAAAATAAAAATAAATTTCATTTATAAACAAAATTTATAAAAGAAATAAAAAATCAAATAAATTTTGTATAGTTTAATTTATAATATAAAATACTACTGAGAGGGCTTGTGGGGCTCTAAGAACTTGTTACTTAGCTGAACTACTCTGCTTACAAATTTCCCAACATTTTCAAGCTTGATTACATGTTTTTTGTTTTCTCCTCATATCATCTGAACACACTGAGCATCTGCAATACACGGTTGTATTAACAATACAACTTCATTAACAATACTCAGATCAAAGAATCACTTAACCGGACATAACCAAGCTACAAAAAAAACCAAACCAACTAAAATGGCAGTTTGCATAGAATACTTGATTATTGTCAAATGTATAACTATGGATACGGGTTGTACAGGTTGTATGAAGTTCAACAAGGCCAACTACTGGGTGCTGCATTTCTGTCACAACCACCCCACGTAGTGATATGGGTTGTGGAAATGCCTGGGAAGTCACATAAAAAAAGGAAGTGATATCTCACAAGCCTGCTCACAAGAGCTCTGTGCAAGCAGCTGTACAGAAGGTAATTCTGCTAACAGAGTGCATTTGGACTTGCACACAGTTCTCAAGAAGGGGTCTTGCCCTAATCATAAAGACATGGAGCAAAGACACTGGCCTTGAGAGTGAGCCCCAAATCCACCATCACTGCACAGGAAACAGGTTATTGCAGTAGACATGTATGTATTATGCATGCAGTAGTCATGCATGTATTAGGTCAATTTTCAGGAAGCAGCTATGCAATGAAGAAATCTATTATCAATAATTACAAAAGTAACAGATGACATAAATACAATTATGCCGCTATGAACATATGCTGCCTCTCTGGTATGGTATGACAGATATGGCTTGCTCAACTCAAAATGCACCACAAGAGAAAGGCACTGAAAGGGGAACCAGTCATACACAAGCTCCATTGTGTCTCTGAGCTGGGCCAGGGGGAGAGATAGCAGAGGACAGGCATGGCAGAGATCCGGAAATAGAAACTGGCAGTCAGGAAGGTAAGAAATGTTGGCTCACCTCTCTAACACAAGATGTAGCAAGCACCGAGTTTTTCAGGCAACCAGTGCAAAGGAGTTGTGTCTACTAAAGTACATGTACAGAACACTGCAAAAGCCAAAGATCTATGTGGGTCAGAAACTGAACAGATGAAGCTGTAGGAAAACCAAGTAACAGGGCAGACTTGGAAGATGCCATGTGCCTCAGCTGGCCCTAACCTGCAAGACTGCTGACAACTCCTACTGATGAAGGGGTTATCGCTGCCTGTTCCTCCTGTCCTTACTTTCTTCTCAGGCATCTGCAAACAAATCACTGTCAAATACAAGTCTTTGGTCTGACTTACTGGACTCAGATTACACTAGGAGACAAATCTGCAGTGTCAACAGAACATGATTTAGGAAACTCCTGGTTCTTTAAGTTTTCTTGACGGAAGCAGTTTTCTGGTTCACCAATGTGCTTTTAATTACTCTCTTAAGCCCTGGACTATAGAAACTACAGGCACTTACAATAAAGTTTTTATATTTTTCCTTCGCTGACAAAACCCGAAAATTACTCTGATCTTGTTATGAAACTTGGAGAGGGAGTTACCAGCTGAGAATTCATATCACTCCTTTTAAAAGTGACCTAAAATACTGTTTTCTGCCTTTACTGAAACTAAGACTTCAGCAACTGTTAGGTTTGTTTATACACAAGTTGATCACGAGTAACAGCAACTTGCATTTTCTAGATGTCTTGGCTCTGGAGATGCTCTGAGTACCAATTTCAGTTGAAGGCACTACTACTTAGCTTAACTATAAAATACTTTCAGAATATATAGCTTCAGGTGTCATGTGTGTCCAACAGTCACCCAGTGCCAGTACTCTCTTCTGCTCTTTAATATAAACACTACTGAAATTTAAATCTTCAATTTCCTCAAACTACTCAACTACTGTGACAAGAAAAGCCCAAACCAAAAACAGGATTTTCGAAGTATTCTCAAATAGTTCCTACTTAGAAAAATTGAATAAGCTTCCCAACCATCCTTTACAAACATTACTGCAATTTTTGGGTTTTACAGTCTTAAAATAAAAGTCAGAACTTAGCCAAACTCTGGAGCAAAACAGTGTTTGTAACTACAGAGACTATTCAGAAATCAATAATGTGCATAGAACAATATACCCCCAAATCCCTTACACTGCTCCAATACAAAATTAACCAGCCAAAGAAAAACTCTCTGCAACAGAATAGATTTAAATTCTGTAGTGCTCTACTGCAGTAGTTCCACAGAATACTGAAATATGCTTTCAATTAATTTAATTAGCAGCTTGTCATAAATTATACTTTGTATTCCTGAGCTTTGAAATTTTATTTCAAAGTTCTTAAATACAAAACTAGACATGTAAAGAAGAGAAAGCTTAAAATTTTGACAGACAATTTGAGATAGCTAGGGATCAGGGAACGCAATGTAACTTATCCCATGCAAATTTTGAAAAAGGACTTTATCTACAAACTTCTGCTAAAAACAACCAGTGTAATGACACCAATGTTAATATCCTAATATCACTATCTCCTTTCAAAGTCAGCATCAGAATGAGTTGATTAGTATAGTTTGCTTGTACCTCCCAGAAAAATGGTTTCATACTCCAGCACATGTAGATCTGTTAATCTGAAATTCATTTGAGTGAACATTTCACACTCTTTCAACCCATAAAAACTTTAGACTACTAAAAGCTAGAGTGGAGTTATCTAACAGGAGGTGGACCACATAATCCTCTGAGACTACAGGCTTCAGCAGACATAAAGCTCTGATTAAAGTGATCTGCAAATAAAACCTTCCACCTTTAACATAAGTTAAAGATAATACTTGTGTTTCAATGTAAATTTAGATGACTGTCTCAAGGAGTGGTAAGCAGCCATACAGCATGGAACTAATTACTGGAAAGGCACTCCTGGAACCTTTAAAAAATATCCCAACCACCACCAAAGAAATCAGTGACAAATGAATACTGACATGCTACTATACAATTATTTCAATTCCAACACCAGAAAAATGCCAGCCAGTACATTACAATTAGCTCAAGAATTTTTCAACATGTTCCACTTCAGCTGCTAAGATGTGGGGGGAAGTGTATTTTACTGCTTGGTCTTAAGAAAAGAAGTTGTACTTCACTTACCAGTTCCTATATAGGGTTTAAAGCGTCCTGATAGTCTGTCAACAAAGGCACCTAAAACATCTAATCCCAGTAGTGCTACCTGTTGAAACAAAAGCATTAGATATTATAAACCAGATCAATGAGGAATTTTTTAGAATATATTGCAAATAACTTAGACAAGTATGCTGAAAAACTACATTAAAGATAAATTAAAGTTTCAGTTGAAGAGCTAATAATTCCCTCAAAGTTCCTATCTAGACAAAGTTATCAGAATACGTTTGGAATGGATCAAATTTATTTTATATATATACTGGGACAATTTTTCAATTCTTGTCTTAAAACAGAAGAAAATTAATCCAATGCTTTAATATCTTCAACTACAAAACCCAAACAAAGACATGGTTTAAAGGTTTCCCAGATGGCCCAGACTAGACCATTTATCCACCTGCTTGTTAAGCTAGGGAAGCTTAATTTTTCATTTTGTCATTAGAAAAAATAATAAAGAACCTGCTCAAACCAAACAAAAACAACAAGAAAAACTAAACCAAAACAAAAATCAACTAAACTCAGAACAACAAAAAAAAACCCCACAAATAAAAACTAAACAAAAACAGAAAAAAAAAAAAGAAAATAAAAGCAATTTGAGGAATCCATGAACAGAAGCTAGATGAGACAACAATATCCACTAATATAGAAACAAAAATGCAAATAGAAATTATCAGTTAGACTAAATTATTTTAGGAAGTTAGGACACTTCTTTTGCTGTTTACTATCCTGCATACTGCTCCAAGACTTCGTTCTGTATTACCTACAATAGCTCATAAGGAACACCAGAACCTGCATTTTCACAACTTGTAGTTACCTCAATTTGCTGCTGCCCATGAAGGTGCAAATGGAACAACCATTTGTCAGAGGAACAACCTCCTCAAGCTTGGGTGTTCCTTACAGCTTTTGCTCCACTTAATTTCCTAGTAAGACATGCACTGCACATTTTTCCCCATGAACTCATGACTAGAAATCCTCTCCTTGATTAGCTGTTTATTTTCATAAAATTTGGATCTGTATTTTTTGGACCCCTCTGGTTCCTCAATATCCCTATCTGTCACAGTTGGGCAGCAGTCCAGAAAAAAATTTGACTGGATATGCATGTGATACACATGGCCCACGCACACAACATCATATGAGCCTTGTTTCCATAGGAAACCAGATAAATAAGGTTCCCATAAAACCTAGGATGAGAAGCAACTGCACAGTGAAGCTGGTTTTAATAAATTCAGTATTAGTACAACAGATCTTCTTTTTTAAAGGAGATACAAAACTTAGTCCGCAGTTAGTACAACTTACCTGGACACAATTTTATTACATACTGAAACAAAGGATAGCACATATAAGTAGACAGCACCACCAGTTTAAATTACTATATTGCTAACAAGTAACTCTATCCTCAGATGAGGAAAACAGAATACTATAACTAGTAACTTACTTAGACAAAAAATATATATACAAATTAGCCTTCATGGTAATGTCTGAGACTTGCACTGACAATTTTAAGGTACCTTTCCATGCAAGTGTTTTGCATAAACAGGAGCCTTTCCTTCTGTAAAGATACTTTGTAAAAATTCTCTCTCCTCTCTGCGCATTTGATTATCTTTGCAAAATCTGTCTTGAAGACTTCTACCCTCGTGAAGAACAGCAACTCAGAAACTTAAAGCAAACATGCATGAGCTTTACCTCATACAAAGTCCTCTGTGGTCTGCAGCTTTGAAAATGTAACAGGTGTGAATAGTCAGGATAACTGGAGAGTTAGAATCTGTGGCCACAAGTTGAAGTAATGGCAAACTGCTCTAGCTACAAAATTTGCTTTCATTCCACATTACAAAACAAGTCACTTGAACCACACAGCTACAGAGGACAGCAAATGAACTATTACCCGTTGGTTTTCTCAATCAGTTTTAATATTTCTCTGTTCTGATACACAATGTTCTAAGCTTCAGCATCTCCTGGTAGGTATCATCTGTGCAGTATTCCAGTAGACCTTTGAAAAGAGTTCTCAATTTATATGGGGTCACATGAAAAAAAAAAAAAAACAACACAAGAAACTGTAAGTTGAGGCAGAACTTAGAGGTTCTGCAGAAGACCTGCAACAAAAAGGTTCCAAGTACTGAGACACTGTGTGAGACCATTTGCCAACACAGGCCCTTCACTATCAATAGGAAAAACCTTTCACCAGCATCACTGCTCTTTCCCCAACAGCTCCAATGAAGGATGAATGCCTTCTGGGATTAAAATCAATGGATTTGTTTCTTACTCTGCATTCATTAAGCCTTTTGCATGCTGTCTAGAAAGAGCCTTTGTATGTTGAGACTGATTCATCAGATCACCATTGTTTGAAGCATTTAAAGTGCTTTTAAAGTTCATAGGGGAAAAGAAATTATGTTCATTTGAACTGGAGTTGGTTAATTACTATTCTTGAACAAGCCAATATTAAGCTCATCCTTGACTTCTCAGATCACAACAAAGTTGCCAAACCAACTGAGAAATATTTTATCTGTTCTGGATAAAAAAAGACCAGACTCTTCAGTGAAATCAAGATGTTCCAACCAGAAAACTAAATAGATTATAAATAGAACCAGTGATTAGTAATTGAGCCTATTCTTGCTCTGCAGCTTCTTCCTTTTCCAGCTCTCCTTCTGCACTCACTTTCCTGCACTGCCCCTGCACTTCTGTGGACAACTTCCAGGCACCTAAGTGTTTTGATAGAAAAAGAAATACTGTTCTTCAAACCATACCTGGATAACCATGCATGCTTACCATTAATTTTCATGGTTAATTTACAGAAATTCATTCTGTAACTTCCCAATCCTGTGGGGGACAGCTAGGAGCAGGACACTACCAGAAAAACATCTCTACTTGCATAAGTTGCCAAATGACCTTAATACAAATGTCCTTGGATTTGGTAGTAGGATCTCTGAACTGTACATGGAAATACGGATTCTGTAGATCGGGATCTGTAAACTAGCCATGAGAATCTAATGGGGGAATTATGGAGGTCACTGTCTGAAACTGCAAAGAATGAAGTTAAGGCATTTGACTTCCTGTCACCATGGGGACAGCTGTGGTATCACTAACAATTACTGACAAACAGGATACAGCATGCCAAGCAACTACGCCCTGCAAGAGCAAGCATTGTTCCAGCGCTGCAGTGCTGGAACAAGACAGATGCAAAAACTTCATGGGATGTTTTTTTTAAAGTTTTGTCAGCCAAGACCCAAGGTACACTTTCTAAATTGTCATAATCTCTAGAACCCTGCAAGCAGCTCTAAGTGAAACAAAAATATTTATGTTCATGCAGTATTTTATGCTTCACTTCTTCAAGTTTCATATTCTTAGTTCTCTCTACTCATCTTTCAGGATATACTTCTGCTCCCCTACTCCATACGTCTTGCTCCATTTACTGTTTCCCACCCCAATTCTATCCACTTCCCTCATTCTGCCAGGATCTACCCATATTCCATTCCCTCCTTTAACTCAAAAGCTTGCAGGGATACTTAAGCGTGCCCGTGGCCCCATTGGCAGAAGGACACTTCCATTTTCCTCGGTCATTTCTTCAACCCATGTGGTTCTTCAGTCCCAGCTATGTCATCTTCATACTCCATTCTCCCTGCCACTCAGCAACAGCTGGACAGCTGCCTCTGCTGACAGAAGCCAAAACTGCAGCCCCAGCTGCAGTTTGTTACCACACACATCATCTATACTTCAGATATTTTAGCTGACAATAAAGCCTTATTTCCATTCTCTTGCTTGTTTCACCTTCAAGGGCACTAATGACACACTTCCAATTTCAACAATATGATTTCTTTTTAATGTATATCACATCACATTGCAAGGAGAGGGCAGAGTTGCTGGTATCTAAGCCTTCAAGCTGAACAACTGGAATCCAAGCTCATTAGCAAATACAGAGCCCCCTCTACCTAAAAAAATAAGGCTAGTGCCTTCAAAATGATGTTTTACAACCATAAGATTCTCCTAAGTATCCAATCTTTGCTACTGTTAAAACTACTTATGAGCTACCACCTCATTGTCTCAAAAGGGGTATAGACTATCAAACTTCTGATAACCTCCCGCACAATTCCCCTGTGATGACCAATCACAACACGTTTCAGCACTGCAGTGCAAGAAACTATGCTACCAGAGGACTGCTGAATCAATCACCAGTATTTATCTAGAGAGTGACAAGTGTATTTCTGCACTGAAAAGACTTGGTTTCTTCAGGTCCTTCAGGTCCTCCCAAGAGGCACAACTCTTGGATGTCCCTGTTATGTTGACCTCTCCTGTACTGCAGCCAGAATAAGCAAGCGTAGTGCTCTCACAAAAATTTTAGCGGTTATTAAAAAAAAAACAAAAAACAAAAAAAGTTTTAATGCCCTTTCCCCAAGTTGGGAACTTTAGCTTCCTATCATGTCTGCCTGCATTAATTAAGAAACATTGAGCCAATTCTAAAGAACAGATTGATGTAACACTCAAAATGATCACTGGGAAAAAGATTCATTTACAACCTTCTGTTATTTCAAAATCTCTCATGATCTCCAAACTGTTTTGTATTATGTGGGTAACAGTATTCTTAAATTTTTGTACTGCCTGCAGCTTGTTCCATTACAGGAGCATCTCCAGCTTGCTTCACATGTCCATTAAACATTCTTCCCTTATCTATTGTAATACATGTTTCATAAATACTGTTCGAAGGACTGTGAGCAAAACCCAGAAGTATATGATGCAGCACACTTGACACTGTAAGCTATTTTTTTTTTTTTTTTTGAGATTGTCTGGCTAAAACTTTATGTGCTGCATTGGAAAAAGTTGCAAAACAGAGCCTCTTCAAAAGCAGGGTTCAGTGGGAAGACAATGAAATGTATGGCATTTCTCTTTCAAATAAATAATTAGAAATCAACTTTTTTTCCCCCAAAGAAAATTGACATTGAAAGCCTTTCTAAGCACATTGATGGTGCAAAACAAAGAAACACTTTATTTTAGGACTCAGTTCTTTCAAAAGAATTTAATTATTTTTGTGCCCAAGGTCTCTTATTTCCTTTCCCATT